AATTTCATTTCTCTCCACGACTAGGCCAGGAATCAGAATACATTGGACGGTTTGCAAGAACCCCAGACGTTGTTGACTGCACACCAGCCAATCAGTGAAGAGCTGTGAAGCCGTGACGTCAAACTCAAGCGCCTGTCTGGGTTCCTTTTGTGGTACAGCACAACAGTAAACAAAGTGGTCGAGATGGATGTAGACGAAGCCATACATTCTGTGTTGACAACAATTACTGATATCGAGGATTTAAAGCCAGAGAATGTTTGGTGATTTTTTTCAAGGGGAAAGACGTTATTGCCCTTCTTCCTACGGGATTTGGCGCATTACGTACGTCATGAACAAATAGCAGTGACTGGTTGGATAAAAAAGTACCCGAGTACCATCCGTCAAATCCTAATGCTGCGAGGTCAGGTGGTTTCCACAAAGAGAAATGGGCTGATGAATCAGGCTAAATTCCTGGAGCTGAAATGATTCAAATGATTCTAATGAAGGTGTATGGAGTACCAGATGAAATCACAAGGTGGAACAGACTGTTTTCAGTGTTTGAGAAGGCTAAACTTGCAGGGTTTGTGTGTCAGAAGTGTGAATGAAACAGTGTTTGTGACAAGGAAACAACATAAATCAGAATATGAGCCCATTACCTAAACCATAATTAGATTTGTAAGTGTGGTCTCCGGTGTGTTTGACTCTCGGTCTGTGTTTAACTAGGCCTGTAACTTATCTGTCAAAGTAGAAGTGCCAGATGAATGGATTGTGTTCCTGGTGATTTTGCTCAGGACAAACTGTTCAGCAATCAATGTAAATGTGATGGAGCTACAGGAGGGAGCGCCGTAGACAGGGGAGAGGGGTCTTTGATGTGTTCCCGACTAACACTAATTAATGCTACTAATGAGGCCTTTATTCACTAAGACAGGGTACACAGAATACAAACAGATGGGCAGATAAAGCAAACAGGATTACAAAGGAAAGGCTCTAGTGTATTGCATTGGAATATGTATTGCATTTGTAGAAAAATATGGTGCAGCAGGTGATTTTATATATAGATTTTATACAAGGAGCAAAATTTGGCAATGAGTAATTTGTGACGAGATTGAGCAAGATTGTTTGTGTTGTGTTTGTATTTTTGATTGCTGCAGTTTGTGATATTTTTGTCGAAGTGAATTTTCTTTTGTTTGGTCACTCTGGTGCAATATGTCTGAGGCAAGCTTCAGCCTAAACAAAGAATACAGTAGTGATGCACATGCTTGTCTTATCTTGCAACTCCACTATTTCTGCTAATAACATTAATATGGATTATTAAGGCACATTTCATACACCCAGATTTGAATAAATACTAATACAGATATCAGTGCAATGTATTATTTCATTTAACTATTTATACTGATCCAAAGCAAACAATATTTTATTTTACATGACCTATTTAAAAGGTATACACTTATTTAATAAAAATATTTCAGTGGAAAACCTTACCTTAACCTTAACCTCAGAACTGCCCAGAGCCCGGTCACTGTCAAAGCCTCTCCTCTGTTCACACTGTAATGAACAAGAGGTGCTGAGTCTGTTACTTGTAGCTGTCTTCTCAGATTTGTCCAACAGTAAAGACGGAGACACTCATCCACAAATCTGTCCCCTCAATGTGTCCAGGAGTGACAGAAGCCCTGACAGCTTACACTCACCTGCACAACATGCTGAGAGCTTTGTCAAGTTACATAATACAGCTTTTATGATGAGGAGGACAACTGTCTTACTGCGTACGATGAGAAACAAATGTGCAGGATTTTGTAGAGTTGTCGTGGGATTAAAAAGTGTAAAATTTTAAAGTTCAGCCGTGTAATTTTTTGGCCAAAAATTGCCCTCCAGCTGCTAGTCTCCATGGGAATTTTTGTTCCTTTGGCTATAATATTCTAGCCTGATTCATCAGCCGGTGTCACTTTGTAGAAACCATCTGACCTCGCAGTATTAGAATTTGTTCGCTCAAAGGTAGGCGCGTACTTTCTTTTTAATTCAACCAATTGCTGCTATTTGGTCGTGACGTATGTATGCGCCGTTAACAGGGCTAACTGGTATATTAAGCTTTTCCCAACTCCCGTAGTAAGAAGGGCAATAGCATCTTTGCCCTTGATAAAATTCACCAAACATTCTCTTTGTTCCAGCTTTAAATCCTCAATCTTGGGAATAATTGCCAACACCAAATTTACTGCTCTTCTCTGATTGGCTGGTGCCCGGACTTGCACTTCTGAGGTTCTTGCAAACCATCTAGTGTATTCTGATTCCTGACCTCGTCAATGGAGAGAAATTAAATTGAGCGGAGGCACTAGGTGGCGCCAGCCTGACTATGGGGAATTGCCAGTTTGAGCAAAGGTAGCTGCTAACTTAAAAACTACTATTCCCATGACATCACAAGTTAGGAAAAGAGCATTTTGAACATTGGAGATCTAGACAGATAGTAAAGGATTACTCATAATAATATTCCACTGATAATATGTGTTCCTAAGTATAGTTTTAAATGTGTTTTTCAATGGAATGACTTGCCGCCTTAAGAAAGTTACACACTGCTACTGTACTATGTAGACCAAACTTTTTTGGTAGGGTGACTGTCGCCTTCTCGTTTCCAGGGAGATCTTGATGCTTCTAACAGAATGTTCCACAGTTGGGCATTAAACTTATCTAACTGCAATGAGACATGCAGTTGACACCACTAGACTAAGTTACAGATAAGAACTGTGGAGTGGTGAGCCCGATCACAGTAAGACATATATGTTTTGTTAAGGTATGTATTTATGCTTTATTCATCCAAGGAATATTCCAGGTGATAACATATCCATGGAGACAAGTAACAGACCTTTTTTTTAAAAAGTGCTGCTTTCTGAAATGGCCAGCAAAGTGTTTTAAAACAAAACATTACATGTAATACTAATATTGTGACCTCTATGAAGACTTTGCAATGTTATTTTAGTTATAATTATAAATGAGAAAAAAAATTCAACTCTCCTTGCATTTTTCATTTTCCTAATACACAATTCAAATATGTTTCCATTTTAGTCCATCGTGACATTGCATTGTGGGCTTTTATGGAGCTGTTCTGTTAATGGACTTGACGTAATATGATTTCAAATAAGCTCCATCAAAATGAAATCATTTTCTAGGCAAACACAGTGGACAAGTTAATATTAATGTGTACAATGTGAAAGGGCTAGTTAATGCAAGTGATGTATTGGCTGCCAAAATTAGAACGATTGCTTTTATTAAGTGTAGAGGTCATGTTGTTTTTTCCTTTTACATAACGTAGGAAAAATGCAGATTTCAATACCATAGTGATGAATCATAGTGACAATGGTATTACCTCATCAAATCATATTCAGAGTTGTGTTATGTTTCATTCACACTTTTGAATAACTCTTTATTGTGAGTCTGTTAAGTTGACTATCTCAACAACCCTATTTTAGACAACAAAAGTAATAGAAGGACTAAACTAATTTGTGGTGGACAGATGCTTCAAAGACACAGATCGTGATGACAATAATGTTTAAATTCAATCATCTCCAGCTGTAATTGCATTAGGTGGACTGGTCAACCCCTTCGCTTACGTGCACTGTTGTTATAATGAGATATAGGATCTTTGACAGAAGCAGGTTGGAGGTAGATTGGATAATAATGGAGTCACATGAGAGAGGTGTCCTGTGGGATGGTGTCAGAATAGTTAATTGAAAAAGTTCAGATTGAATTAAGATGTTGGAATATTATGGAAATGTTTTATTGTGTGATGATAAGTACTAAAATTTCAAACTCCTTTATAGTCGATACCATAACGAACATTTTAATCACAAAGCAGAAGGTTTCTTAGTATTAGTCTGTGGTCTCTTGTATTTTGATGTGAAGAAAATCATTCTAAAACTCAACTATCTAGTTTCAGTATCAGTTAGTATTGATTAGTAGCTGGGTCAAATTTGTTGTTGACGATCCTAGACTGACGTAAGCTCCATCCTGTAATCTTATGGAAAAGTTACATTATTTTTGCCTTTAATTTAGTTCTGATATTATTAGATTGTACCTTCAACATTATAATGACAAAACCATGAAGAAAAGATTATGCTACAATGCCAGTGATTCATTTTAAAAAGGTACATAAGTCCAACATTTCAAATAATGTCAGCGCTGTTGACCACAGTAATTGTTCATTGACCTTGTGCAAGGGGAAGAGAAAAGAAGTGAATGTTAAAATTGTGGACCAAAAAATTTACATAGGTACGTTATTCAGCACATTGGACATTATCATATTGTGCAAAGCAGAATAAAAAAGGTCAGGAGTTGGACTGCTTCCTAAATTAGGTTCATTAACATAACTAATTTACTCCAGACTTCTTTATCCAAACACTAGAGCGCTCCTCCTGCTGTCCCATGTCCAGGTCTGATCAAGTGTGCACACTCTCCTGATGTTGATCCTCTCCAAAGGGATGGAGAGGATCACTAAATTATTCACAGCTACACAAGACTTGACCATGCACGTGCTGTATATCATGGGTCAAATTACAACTGGGGTCAGAAAAATAAGAAGTTTTTGATTTTTAACATCCAGAATGAGCCACTGAATTAAATGCCATTAATCTTATACCTTTATTCAGGGTGTTTTTATTGTTAAAAAAAAAAAAAACTGGGGTCACCTGTTTGTCTTCAAAGAGATATGTTTAATGCCATACTATGGAATATTCTCTATTTCCATTGTGCAGAAAACAAACTGGGTGATTTTGGATGCACCCTTAGATAAAGGTGAATCTCCTCTGGTTCTAAGCTCGTTGGGTTGCCAGGTGCAAACAGATTCAGTGACGCAATGTTGAAATATTGTTGCAGCCAAAATTCACATTTCACTCCCAGTACGATATACGAGTCTGCTGACCTTTCAATGTCCTCTCCCTGCAGCTCCTTCAGTCCAGACCCCCCGCTCTCCTCGTGGATATTTCATCAGTTCTACCTCACTAACACTGCCTCCTGTTTATCTCTGTGTGCAGGTTATGGCCACGCCGCGCCCAGTACCGATGGAGGAAAGGCCTTCTGTATGCTGTACGCTCTGCTCGGGATCCCCCTCACCCTGGTCATGTTCCAGAGTGTGGGCGAACGCATCAACACATTTGTACGCTACCTCCTCCGTCGCTTCAAAAAATGCTTGGGAATGCGTCGCACAGAAGTCTCAATGGTCAACATGGTCACTTTCGGATTCGTGTCCTGCATGAGTACGCTATGTGTGGGAGCGCTGGCCTTTTCGCATTTTGAAGGATGGAGCTTCTTTCACGCCTACTACTACTGTTTCATAACATTGACCACTATTGGATTCGGGGACTATGTGGCGTTACAAAATGAACAGGCTTTGCAAAATCAGCCAGAGTACGTAGCCTTTAGCTTTATCTACATTTTGACTGGACTAGCCGTGATTGGCGCATTCCTCAACTTAGCAGTGTTGAGGTTTATGACGATGAATGCCGAAGATGAGAAAAGGGACGCCGAGCAAAGAGCGTTGCTTGCGCATAATGGACAAGCGGGCCACGTGCACTGCTCTATGGATCCTGGGTCACCTCTGTCCACGCCATCTGGTTGCGGGGGCGTTAGCGGGGTGAGCGCGAGCGGGGCGGCCAGTCGCGGGCTTCGAAATGTATATGCGGAAGTCCTGCATTTCCAGTCCATGTGCTCATGTCTTTGGTATAAAAGTAGGGAGAAACTGCAGTATTCAATCCCAATGATAATCCCTAGAGACCTCTCAACTTCGGACATAGAACAAGGCGATGGGTATTCCAACACGCTACATTCTAACGGTTGCGTGTGCAGTCTGCAACGCCATTCAGCCATTAGCTCAGTGTCCACCGGCTTGCAGAGTATCAACACCTATAGAAGACTCAACAAGAGAAGGAGTTCAATTTGATCTGTAAATATTTGACAACTTATTTCTGATCATTAAGTATTCTGAATCTGTCCAAGCCGAGAGACTTTCAGGTTTTGAGCAAGGATGCAATACCTCCTACGGACAGAGGGGGCAGCATTCGCCAGTAGTGAAGTGGACAATTTTGGACAAAGCTGTTCTATGCTATGGTGCAAATAATTGTCACCATTTTACGAAAGAAGCAATAAAGACATCAGATGGTTATTTTAGACAATACAAGTAATTCAGATTTTTTTTTTTTAATGAGGTGTTTTACTCACTTGATAAATTAACTTCTTTTGTTATGAAAACCGAGTTGTTTGAAAGGTGAATGGATGGCTTCTTTTAACCCAAATGATTCTATTTATCGTTTTTAACTAGTAAAATGTAAGTTGAATGTTTTATGAGGGCATTCTGTTAGTCCAAACATACAAAGCAGATGCCTGTGGATCTAGATAAGTGATATGCAGAAATCCAACATTGAAGCACACTGGGGTATAATAGTTGAAGTATTTATTAACAGTGTCTTCTTATTTAAATCCCCTCTTTTTATTATTAATCGTTTATTTATGTGGTTTGCTTCTTGAGGGACCAGCACATATTAAGCATTCCAGACATAGTATTGATACTTTGCAGTTGATGGTACTGCTCTGTCTGAAGCTCCGTTAGGGTTTAATCTGAGCTTTATTTCAACAAAAGCTGACTATCCAGAGCTGACCAACTGTTTTTTAATTGTCAGTCTCACAATTTTTGTTGAAAATCAAACACCAAACAGCACCATGAACACTCATACAGTATTGATCACAGGCTCTTGAAAATGTCTTGTTTAAATCAATTTTGTGTATTTTCTTGAGCTTTCATAGCAGGCTGGTGCCACCTAGTGCCTCTGCTCAGTTTCATTTCTCTCCAGCAACTAGGTCAGGAGTCAAAATACACTAGACAGATTGCAAAAACCCATACAAGAGCCATACATTTTGTGTTGGCAACGATTCCCGAGATTGAGGATTTAAAGCCAGAACAAAGAGAATGTTTGGTGAATTTTATCAAGGGGAAAGACATTATTGCCTTTCTTCCTAAGGAATTTGGGAAAAGCTTATTATACCAGTTAGCTCAGGGAGCAATTGGATAAATGAAAAAAATACCTGCCTACCGTCGAGTGAACGAATTCTAAGGCTGCGAGGTCAGATGGTTTCTACAAAGTGAAACCGGCTGATGAATCAGGCTAGAGCTTTCAGACGATGTTAAAACTTTTATGACAATGTTTGCGCATGCGTGCAGTGTGTGTGTCCAATGTGATGCCACTGCAAAGTATCAATAACTAAATTCTATTTGATGTTTAGTCCTGAGATGTTGCTATGGTGGCGGCACTAGATTTTCAGTCAAAAATGCTGACTGAAATTACTAAGCGGTCAGGTTATAATATGAATCTTTGAGTAGGCTTTCCAGCAGTTTAAAGTGAATAAATATTATGTACTGTACTTAATGTTGTACTGTATTACTGTATGCCATTTGTTCTTGCCAAAATGAACTTTGGTCAGAGAATGCCCTCTTGAATTAGAGGCCCTTCCAAGCAAAACAACACCAAAATAAATAAAATATGAACCTAAAGGCAAAACTATTTCTTTACCCCAGAGTTAGTTTGACTTCAAAGCCAAAACAATAGATCGGGCATGATTTAAAATAAATATTTATGAATTATTTTTTAGATGTAGTTTTTACATTGCTTTATTTTTGCAAAACATTTCAGAGCGCCCTCAAAATGCAGGATATTATATTCATATTAAGTCTTTATGATTAGAATAGAATACATTTCACTGTGAGAAGTGTTTATGAAATGACTGTATATAGATGTATATAGAAACCCTTGAGAAATGATTTAAGTGCAGTAAAACTGTAAATATGGAAATGATGACAGTAAATGTAACTTAATAAAATGGTGTAAATACTGTTTTAGGACACATTAATGATAGGGATATTTTTTCAATAAAACTTCTAAGTCTTTAAGTTTTGAATGACAGAAAATTGTAAAAATCACAACCCATTGCGTTTCCATTTTCGAGTGCTTTGAGGATTTTATGTAGCTATCGTCTTATTTAAGACTCACGGCACCTTGGTTACATTTAGTTACCATGTTGTCTTAGAATGGAGCAGGCGTATGCACCAGAACATGCTTTTAACATTTCTGATTAGATTAGCTCTAAAATAATTGCTTGTTTGATCTTGAAGGAAAGAGCTCGGATCTGGTTAAAGGTGCACTATGTACCAGCACAATGTGAAGTATGCCACCTGCTTGTGTCCATGGAGATTTTATGTTACGAATTTTCCACAGTATGGGATTAAACTTCTGTGTTGCATTTATACAGTTAGTGTTAACTGCTAAAAATACCTTGAAAACCATGCATGCATTCTGACCTTTCCACAGATCTGACCTGTAACTTGGCTAAGGGGGCCATTTGCGTCTCCTTTTTTAATGCCGTACTGTGCAACATTCAGGAAAATGCAATATTACTCCACGAGAAACATTACATAGTGCAGCTTTAAGACATGGTTTACACTTGTTCGGTCCTATGCTCAGGCCTTTCCGCTGTTGTTATGACATGATTCACATAAAATACATTACATTTTATGGTGGCAGATAAAGCAAACATTTATTGCCCGTATTTAAACCCAGAATAATTCTTAGATTTATTGTTGAAATGTTATAACTGTTAATCTTCTCCATTTTTACTGTCAATGTTTTATGTCACTTTTGTTAATCTTTTTTTCAATTGGAGAGATCTTATTTATTATCGTTTTGGTCACTGTTTCTCATGTTGTGAAAGAGGGACTCCGTTTGTGACTGTACATTCACTGTATGCTCTCATTTTGAAAACAATAAAAGACTTAAAACATTATAATTTCTTGTGTTTTTTTTCCAGTTTAGCTCTCGAGCCAGATTCAGACTAATTAATGCTGCTCCATTTGTGTGAGATGATTAAGTTTGTCTAAGCAGAGGTGTGGACTTGCAGGTCGTGACTTGGAGTTGAGTCTTGAGTCACTATTTTTAGGACTTGAGACTTGACTCTAAAATAGACAAAGACTTGGGACTAGACTTGGACTTGAAGGTCACTGACTTGGGACTTGACTCAGACTTGAGCCCTATGACTTGAGAAGACTTGAGGCTTAGACTAGCTGACAAGAATTGTTATTAAGCACTCTTAAATCTTAAGTCTTTCTGCTTTGACCGTAATAATTTATACTCTTGTCAAAACATTTAAAAAGAAAAAATTTACATTTCTACAACTCTTATATATAAATATACCAAGACTTTTTAAGTACAATTTAGTTTAAAAATTATATTAACTGCAAAAACCTATGATATATTTGGTACTTTGGTTTAAATACTCAAAATGACTTCAAGCTCAAAGTAGATGACTTGGACTTGATTTGGACTCGTGGGCCAGTGACTCAAGACTCGACTTGGACTTGCCTGCCTTTGACTTGGGACTTGACTCGGACTTGAGGTCAAAGACTTGAGACTTACTTGAGACTTGCAAAATGGCGACTTGGTCCCAGCTCTGTGTCTAAGTCTAACATACTAATGAAACCAGTGTTAGGCATAGCTGAAGTTTAGTATTAGTGCCATCTTCTACTACATGCTGCTCTTTACAATTTATCTGCTCTGCTTCAAATTAGTTAGCTGTATGATTAAAAACTGATCAGTAAAGGTTGCAAATGAAAGAAAATGAAACAATCGACATTACAGTATTTTCTGATCTATACTGTAAGGTTGTTTCCTCATCACATACATACCTGGAGCTGTGTTTTTAAACTCCAAGCACCTTCACTAGAATCATTTGGATGATTGATTTCAGCCCTGGAATTGCCAATCTCTACGGAACAAAAGGTAAAAGGCAGCTGTTAACTTCTTCATGACATCACAAGGTGGAAGACAGCATTTTGAGCTTTGGAGATGCAGACAAACTAATAATAAGTTGAACATGAATGAAAAAAGAAACACAACTCTGAATGTATTTTTGATGAGATAACAACAACAACAGAGTCAGTTTTGTGTAATATAGGACCTTTAAACATCTTAAAACACTCTTAATAAGGTGTGTTTGTTGACAGTGTTCAAAACAACAGCCCCCTGGACACCTGCTTAGCTCCACTCACAGTGCGCTATTGTCCCACGTCTTTGTTGCTGTTACTGTTACTGTGTTACCTTCTTGTGCAGTGTGTAGGTTTTTTCCATTCACTAATGAGCTTCTCAGTGGCAGCCCCTTCAACTACTTTATACATATTATTAAAATTCAAATGTTTAAGTCCTGGTGCTATTTTTGGTTCATGTTCTTCGTCTAGCCACCCTTAAGAACATGGATTTTCAGCTTGTGTAAAGTATATATATATGCAGCGTGCTAACATGATTTAGTGTACCGTACAGTGCTGGTGTCATGAATTATTAAGCAGAGCAGGGTGGACTTGCATGTCTGAATTTATATAACACTGTTAACATCACACTTAACTATTGTAAATGAGGGCATGCTCTCTGGCAGTGGACTTTTACAGTTTATTTTCATTCATATTCTGCATTGTATTAGCTGATAGTACAGGTGTTTTCTTTAAAGGTGTAGTTTGTCTTGTGGAGGGTCCATGGAGATGTTAATGTTTTAAAATATTCCACAGTGTTGCATGAACATGTATCTGCCTCCATGAAGACAAGCAGGTGGTGCTTCCATTAATATCTCATGCACAGGACCTACAGTATATGCCCCCAGATTATAATTTAAGAATGAATTATATTTACCGATAAGAGTAACAGTGTTTATGTATCCACAAATACAAAAAATAAAAAAATATAATAATAATCATAATCATAATCATACTTATAATCATAATAATATATTTACATTTTGAGTTTTGGTTAACATGGCAACTGTTCAATCAGAAAGCAGAAACAATTTTGGACTTTGGGTTGCCAGATCCAACAAATAGAAAATAAACCTAAATGGGCTCCCTGAAAA